TGAAGTCTTCCAGCTGTATCCATTATGACGACATCTACGTTCTTCTTTTTGGCCTCTTGTAATCCTTGTCGGGCTATATCTGCAGGTTTTACATCTGTTCCTGCTGCATAAACAGGCACATCAACCTGTTCCCCCACTTATCAGTGAACATGAGAATGGATAAAGTTGTGTTTAGATATTCCGCGTACTAGTAAAGAAGATGATATAGAGGTAAAGAGTGTTAATGTGTAGAAGAACAGAAAAAAGCATCTAAAATGAAATGATATACATTCTTACTGTTGCTAATGTGCCATGGCATACCTGTTTACCCAAAATAACAAGTTGGTCAATAGCAGCAGGTCTGTACACATCTCCAGCAATCAGCATGCAACTCTTACCCTGCAGACCATGTCGCCAGTGCCCATCAATAGTTTGACAATAGAATGAGAAAGAGGGAAAATGCTAATATTAGAAGGTACTTGGAGAAATGCAGGTTCTACGACCATATACGTAAATTGCAATAGAATGAGCAAGAGAGAGAGTGAGAGAGAGTAAAGCAAGGTCAGGAAAGTACTAAGAGAAGGTGAAGTTAGGAAGTGCACCTGCTTCTTTAGATATAAAGCCAACTTTGCACTAACAGTTGTCTTCCCAACACCTTGTAGACCGGCCAATAGTATTACGGTGGGTTTAGATTTAGCAAAAACCAGTTCAGAAACCTCTCCACCCATCAGTTTCACAAGCTCGTCACGTACAATCTACACCAACCAAATGAGACAAAGAAAAAGTTCAGATCAAGCTGATAGCCAGTTGTGCAAGCAAAATAAAATTAATAACAGAAGGGAGACCGTCTGTTTTCTAAGTACAATTGTGTATTGTTCAAAGTGATCAGTCCGATACTACATACTTTAACTAGTTGCTGATCAGGCTTTACTCCTCGAATCAAGCCAGTCCCAACGGCTTCTTCACTAACAGTCTGAACAAACCTTCTGACAACAGGGAGACTAACCTGCCGATTAAAGTTAAATGAGAGGCAAAATTTAATGTATAGAGATTAGCTACTGAAATAGAGAGCAACATACATCTGCTTCTAAAAGAGCCCTCCTGATGTCTCTCATAGGTTCCACAATGTTTTCCTTGGTCAAAACCTCTGAAGCACAAGGAATTCAAACAACAGCCACTTCATCATTATATAAAACCACATATTTAGTAACAAGGGAAATGAGAACCTAAACCTCCAAAATTTTGAAAAATGGGGACATAGAAAATATGATTAAAAGTTTGGATTTGGATAAGGCAAGCAACTCACATTTTAAACAATTAAATACCTCCCCTTAGTTTATTACTGAAACTTTAAAATTTCAAGAAATAATGTTTGGAACTAAAAAGGAAAAGTATATCCCTGTTAAATAGAAACAATGACCCATAGTTGTTAATATGTTCTACTCTTTGCATTTAAAATCTTATAGTAGCAAGGCCCTCTCCCTTTCCATACACTTCATTGGAGTTTAACAATCAATTATACATCTTCCCGGTTTCTTCTCTTGAAGTATAATTCATTATACCCCATCTGGCACCTCCTCGAATGGATCAATATTACCATCTACGACAACTCATCATCCACCCTGAAAATGAAATCAGGCATGTTGTTGAGTCCTCTAAACATGTGGGGTTTAAGTCTAGACATTAAGCTTCATGTTCCAACTTATATAGCTTCCACCTCCACATCATCCCGTCCTGACTGCCCACATTTCCACTAAAACATTCTCATAGCAGAAGGTTAGGTCAACTACTTACCAATTCTTCAAGAATCAATTGGCTTGGGCATAAAATTTTGGGATTTGCTGTCCCACTCTACAGTGGCGGATCTATGAAGGGCTGTGGGGGTGCCACGCCACCCCCGAACTTCGACGGAAACTCTATATATACATAGGTATATATATATATAATATTTATATAAATATAAAGCGTGCCACCCACAGAATAAAATTGGCTTGTGGTGCCACAGTAGGAGGACAACTTTAGAAGGTTGATGTTGCGGGTTCGAATCCCATTTGGCACCCACGGACTCTAAATCCTGGATCCGCCACTGCCACTCTATCTCCAAAGCCTCAACATCCATAAAGAAAATCCTCATTGATACATTTTCAGCTCTGATGAGTGATGTATGTTAAAATCTTGGAAAATGAGACATAATTTCTAATTAAGGATAGATTCCAGGTTGTTATTATTTTGTATTTCAGCATGTTAAAATCTTGGAAAATGAGACTTAATTCCTATTTAAGGATCGATTCCAGGTTTTTTTTTGGTAAGTCTTGCTGAACTCATTCACCAAGATTGGTATGACCCTTGTATGACTACATGCTCCTATCTTATCTCACAGCCTTTACTTAGCAAAGGTCATTTACTTTAACTGAAATCGTGACGACAACAAATAAACACATTCCCTTAGATTGCTATGATGTATTAATGAATTATCTTAAGATATTATCCTGAATATGAAAAAACCAGAAGACATTGTTCTTGAAGTCATATTTTTGAACTATCTTCTCTATCCAAGATATCAATTTTCAGTTCCCACCCCTGCCTAACTCCAAAAACTAACTCATGACGGGAGGATTGTCCAATCCATATAAACTGATGTGGGACTGTAACCCACTTTAACACCTCCTGTCTAACTAGAGCATGGACCGGGAGTCCAAACAGGGATGAACCTAGCTAAGTAGCTATGATACCATATAAAGATATGACACTTGGGTCTAACTCAAGCTCAAAAGCTAGCTCATCAAGAGAGGATCATCCAAGTCCACATAACAGACCACCGGTCCATTCCCAACCAACTAACATGCGACTCTAACATATACCTACTCGAGATTAACAATTAAAGTTTCAGCTCCCATACATCAAAATTTCACACAAAATTTAGCTCTTTTTTTTAAAAAAAGAAAGTACTTTTTGCTTTTACCTTCTCCTTTGAGCTTGTTCCAAGCATTTTCAAGTCCACTAGTGAGCTGTCCAAACATCTCAGCTCTAATACCTCCACGCATTTCCCTTCTTATAGTAACCACATTCTTGGAATTGATCACCCTCCATGTATCCCTCTACATAAAAATTCAATCTTTAACCAAAAACTACAAAAAAAAAAAAAAAACTAATCAACATCCAAAAGGGTCTTACAGTGAATGAATTTCTTGAAGAAAATGAAAGAGAATGAGTAGAACCAATCCAAGAAGAAGAAGAATTACAAGTGGGGTTAAGTTTGGAAGTTGAAAGAGTGGCTTTAGAAAGTGGAAAGAAATGGTGAGAAGCCATAGTTGAAGAGAAAGAAGCAGTGGCTTCCATGGTGGATTAAAGAACAAACAATCAGAAGAAGCAAATGGGAGTAAAAATTGAAGCTTTTTTCTTCTTCTTCTTCTTTTATGCTTTATCCATTAGAAGAACAAAAATGTAATCTATGGTCTATCTACTAGGGGGATTTTTACAGTATTCTTTGCATCGCAGACCATCGTAATATCCTACTCCATCAACTTTTTTTGTTTTGTTTTCCCTCGGATATCCATATTAGAGCTCGACTAAATTCAAATCGGTCGAGTAAGATTGGTGGTAGTACTTGGATGGAGTAAAGTAGAAGTGAGTTTGGAGTGTGGGAATATACACAAGTGTGAAATTTTATTATATTGTCTTTCGGGATGACTTAGTTGGTTTGGAGGCACACATGATCCGAGATCGATCCCCCTCAATGTCTTTAGGGCTTGCCTAGTGCGATTTGCATTCTCTATATGGTTTGCAAACTATACTTAGTGGGGGGGGGGGGGGGGGGCAGAGGCTATGACCAAGGTTGTAGCGGTTGTGGGTTATCCTAGGGTCCAAAAAAAATTATTATTATATAATCGATAAAATTATACGATAATGAAATTTAAATTTTTCATTATTTATTTAATGTAATTTTTTAGCTTTTCTTCTTTCCTCTTTTTTGCTACTTATGTTATTTCTTATTTCTTATTTAGTTCACTCAATGTAATGATTGGGTTCAAACGAAAATGAAGTTAATATTAAAATTGCGAAGAAGGATTTTTAATTGGAATTGACGTAAATAAGCAATAAGTAAGATATTGTAAGTGATAGAATAATTTACGGTCATAAAACTATATATATTTCTTTTATTGGAACTCATATTTATCACGATTCAAATTCATGTTTGTCTTTTGAGGTTTGCTCAACATACCTCATAAATTTATCCTTTAATATAATAGTAGGACAAATTTCAACGAAAACTAGATCCGTATAAGATTGTATATGACACTAATAGCATAAGGGTAAATCGATGAGGATCAGCTAAAATCAACAGATTTTGTAGGTTGATGAGTTTTTAAAGATCAAATGCATATTACATCTTAGACAAAATATATTTTTTAATATGAATGATGTGATTCATAATGCATGCGCGTTTTTACACTTTGTTTGAATGATTATTACGTGTTATCTCATAATATATCGTATTGTATTGTTTTAATGAATACACTGTTAGTATTTGGGATAGGTTGTATTGTTCCCCGTCGTTACATAATGTCACTACATCTACGATTTAAATAATAAACCTACAAGAAAAGTAAGGTACGAGGTAAATATACTATAAAAAGGTAGGGTAAAAGATGAAATATAATTATTATATAATAAATAAAGATAAAATAAGAAGAAAATATTAAGGTAATGACGCGATCACACCAAATGGTCGTTCTATAAAATAGTATTTTCATTGTTACCTAACGATGAATTTAAACGATACGACATAATAGAATTTAAATAGCAATCAAAACAAACATTACATTTAAACTAACAATCCAATACAATATAACGGTAACAAATCCAAATAAGGTGTTAGACGCAAAAATAACATAGGTTGAGAAAATATTTAATGAGATTCGTTGAACTAAAACAACAGATAATACGTGTCATGAGCTTGAATTGTCACGCTTCTATAAAAATGCATTAAAGCAATCAATCACCCTTTTTTGTCTAAATAAATGACCAAACATCTCCACCTCCACAAAAACACCAAATTCTTGTCACTTTTCCATACTAACAAATCCGCCATTTTCACCAAAGCTTCAAGCTTTACTACTTCTACTGCTACTCCATGGAATACCCATTTGAGAAATCTCTCAAAACATGGTCAGTACAACGAAGCACTCATTCTTTACCGTCAAATGCTTCAGTCTGGAGCTACCCCAAATGCCTTCACTTTCCCTTTTGTTCTCAAATCTTCAGCTTCACTCTCCCTTCCCATCACCGGAAAACAACTCCATTGTCATGTTATCAAGTTGGGTTGTGAATCTGAGCCTTTTGTTCAAACTGCATTGATATCTATGTACTGTAGATGTAAGTTAACTGAATTTGCACAGAAAGTGTTTGATGAAATGCCTCAAAGAAATCTTACTGTTTGTTATAATGCTTTGATTTCTGGGTATGTTCAGAATGGTAATTTCTTGAATGGGTTTTTGTTGTTTAGTGAAATGAGGTTGAGAGGAGTGTTGTTTAATGCGGTTACTGTTTTGGGATTGGTTCCAGGTTGTACTGCTTCGCGGTATCTGTGGTTGGGGATGTCGTTGCATTGTTTGAATGTTAAGTGTGGATTGGTGAATGATTTGGCTATTGCAAATTGCTTGTTGACAATGTATGTGCGTTGTGCGTCTATGGAGTTAGCGAGGAAGTTGTTTGATCATATACCAGAAAAGGGGTTGATCACTTGGAATGCGATGATTTCTGGATACGCGCAAAATGGGTTGGCTGGTGAAGTGTTGGAGCTTTATCATGAGATGGAATTGTTGCAAGTGAATCCTGATGCAGTGACATTTGTTGGAGTTTTGTCAGCTTGTGCTAATCTTGGTGCTCAAAAGATTGGTTTTGAGGTGGAAGAGAAAATAAGGTCTAGTTGTATGAGATGGAATGTATTCTTGAAGAATGCTCTAATAAATATGTATGCTAGATGTGGTAATTTGGCGAAAGCACGGATTATATTTGATGAGATGCCAGAGAAAAGCTTGGTCTCCTGGACAGCAATAATAGGTGGTTATGGAATACATGGGCTTGGAAACATTGCTGTGGAGCTTTTTGATAAGATGATCGAGACTGGCATTCAACCTGATGGAACGGTGTTTGTTAGTGTTCTAAATGCATGTAGTCATGCAGGGTTGACTGAAAGGGGGTTAAATTATCTTGATCTGATTAAGAGGGAGTATGGGTTGAAGCCATGCTCAGAGCACTACTCTTGTGTTGTGGATCTATTAGGTCGTGCTGGTCGACTTGAGGAAGCTCGGAAACTTATTGAATTGATGGAAGATGAGCCTGATGGTGCTGTATGGGGTGCCCTTTTGGGTGCTTGCAAGATCCACAAAAATGTTGAACTTGCAGAATTAGCTTTTAACAAGGTTGTTGAGCTTGAGCCAACAAACGTAGGCTATTACGTGCTACTTTCAAATATCTACACAGAGGCAAATAGTTCAGAAGGTATATTAAGAGTTAGATTGATGATGCGAGAACGAAAGCTCAAAAAGGATCCAGGTTATAGCTATTTTGAGTGTAAAGGGAAAACTTACCTCTTCGTGGCTGGCGATAGAAGTCATCCTCAAACAAAAGAGATATACAAATTGTTGAACAGATTGGAGGATACTGAAAGTGAGTATGGAGGAGCAAACAGAAATGGTCAAGAGGTAATAAATCACGAACCTCCTAATATTATTGGCGTTCATAGTGAACGTTTGGCAATTGCATTTGCTCTGTTGAACACTGAAATAGGGGCTGACATTCTTGTTATAAAGAACTTAAGAATATGCAATGAATGTCACTCATTTGTAAAGCGAATCAGCAAAATTGTTGATCGGTTATTCGTGGTCAGAGATGCCACCCGTTTCCACCATTTTAGAAATGGTACATGTTCTTGCAATGATTATTGGTGACTGGTGAGACTGGACAAATGATAACAAGAACTTTGCAGTGAAGCTCATTATAAAGATGGAAAACAGTCATGTATGCTCTCCGAATCTTGAAGCCTGTGGCAACATTGTGCAACTCTGTTTTCATCGAGTCCTCGGGACCTAACTGAACACAACCTACACCCCATGCAAGGGATCATAATATATCGATGGTTGAACCTCTTCCGAGTTGACCCATGTGGTCCATATAAGAAAGAACATGCATTCACCAGAAGTTGAAAAGTTGAGTGACCATGAGATATGAATTGTCAATTGTCATCACAAGAAAATAAGGGCAAACAAGGGACCACTTTTGAGAACACAGATGTGTTTGGATGTTTGATGGAGGCATCTCCTTCCTTGAGCACAAATTTTGGGGGCAAGCATGTTGAGACCTTTCAAGGAGGGGCAAAAATTTGGTTAACTTCTAGAGCCCTAAAACCATTTTGATGTAGTGGAGCTGAATTCGAAAAGAAACAGTTACATGTTTGGCTACAATAAGCATTAAGAACTATACCATCATTCTACAAAATGTTTATTGATTATGATGTATGTTCTCTTCTCTTTTTTGCAATGCTAGTGCCTCAACTTTCAATTCTATCCTTATATGTGTGCAAGCACCAACTCTTAAATGCTGTCGCGCAGCATTCATACTACTGAATGACACTCCATACGTTGACAAATGGTTTTTCATCGTCTCATGAAGAAAAAAATGAAGAAAAAGAAGTACTTATTATGTAACAGAAGCAATGCTTACAATCAAGAAGAAAACTAGCCATCTTACAGACAAGAATGCAAAATAATGTGAATTCTTGCACTTCTACAATCTGTTTTCCAAGCATAAAATTGATGGATCCAATAAAAGTTGCTACTCTGAATCCAAGGATTCTAATGTATAATGATATATTGTCAGATTAGGTATCATCGCGGATGTAACAATCATTATCTCAAGCCACAAACTTTAAGAACTGTGTCTGTTCCAGAGACACAACTATCTTCGACAAATGGAATTGTCTTCCACACTGTTAATTTCATAGGATTATTATTACAATCACCTGTGGTAATCACAAAACATGTTTAGAACTCTTCTTTATCGACATTCTCAACTTCATGGGGAAAAAAGAGCTTTTCTTACCTTTTGTTTTCACATCCTTTTCGGTGCAAATGGCAACATAATGAGAACTAGCAAACTCCAAGAGCATAAACTGCCAATTACTTGTAAGGTTCTCTGTGTTGTCAAGAGGATCCACTACTATTTCACTTGCCTGAAAGAAAAGTATGTGTATCAACAAAAACATCCAGTGTAACGTTGAGATAAAAATATGATATCTTCTATAAGTTAGCTAGTACTTGCTCGAGAAAAAAACAGTACCGAGGAAATGCTCTGTTTGGACAAGGCTTAAGAGTGCATTTAGTTCTCAAATGGTTTAACCTGACTACTTTTTTTCATAAAAACATGGCTAAACCCATAGAAAGATGCACCTAAGACAAATGCAACATAGACCCCTCTGAAGTAGAGGTCAAAGTTGAATAAAAAGTAACTGTTGTGGCATACCTCAGCACTTGAATTCTGAGATGGATGAAAGTGTTCTCCAATAGAGCTCCCAAGACGAATGGTAAATGTCTTGAAAGGTGCACCTGAGAAACCCTTCCCAAGTGCTTTAACATATGCCTCCTGTGAACAATATATTTCTTCAGAGAACTTACATAATAGATAATACAAGGAAATAATGTTCCTCCTTCACATTTACATAGCATACAAGCAGTGAAACGACCGTCTTTATTGATTAAGCAGTGAAGACAACATGTTCGAAGAAAGTGGATCAGATATGACGCATAAAGCCAAGTTATGGATCAGTTATAACTCTCCACTTACTATAAGCAAAACATCAGTCCATTCCCCAACCAACATGGGTCCCTAACCCACTAACACCCCCCCCCCCCCTCCTTCACGCCCAGGTACAACTGGAGCATGGACCGGGAGCCCAAATAGGGATGTAGGCTCTATAAAGATATGACACATGGACCTAACTCAACCCCAATAACTTGGGAGGAGGATTTCCTAAGTTCAAATTCCCAAACAATGTGGGACTCTAACCCACTCCAACATTTATAATGCCTCATATATGTAATGTACGTACATACAGATGAATGAGTTTGACCTTGAGTTCTCGTGGCTGGCAGTGCTTGCTTTGGCCTTGCAATGTTGGCATTGGCAACAATGCATAGCATCTATTACTGGGTGTTGGGGTTGATGTTTGGCGTGCATTGACGGATTACTAAATTAAATACATTTCAAGTCTTAAATCATGAGTTATACAATCTTAATTTCTTAAGCTGTCTTATTGCAGATGACTGTAATAATTAAGCATGATTCAACCGTAAACATGTAGATATCATCACAAACTTGAAACATTTATCAAGGACCTAAAGGTAAATTTACCTTCAGCGTCCATAACTTTATAAACTCCTGCTGCTGGATATAGGGATCTCCAATAGCAGTTAACACTTCAAGCTCATGTTTGGAGAAGTATCTTCTAGCTAAAGTCAATATGTTGTGCTTCGTTGTTCTTTCTTTTTCCTCCACGTCTACACCGATCTATAAATAAAAGAAGTGATTTACCACTTACCTGAATATACACACAAACTGACTTGAGGACAAGAATGTTTACAGGAGAATTTATTGTCACACCACAGGCTACCAGAGACGATGTATGTGTGATGTTGAAATGCAACGCGGGAGGCTCCCAATTGTAACTGCACGGCCAATCTACCTATTGACATACACATATAACGTTAATTGTACCCAACTATAACAAACCAGAAGAAAAACACGAAAAAACCAACGGAAATACATTGAATGACGAACCTCTGGTTTCCCGTGAACATTATTCCTAAACATGATGGATTTGGGTGTCACTGAAGAATTTATCTGATCTAGCAAAAACCAATGCCTTCATGAGCCATCAGACATTCAAACTCTCTTACGCTATTATGATAACTAATGATAGAGCAAATTATTATACAGAACTGAAAATTTCACTCGAACGTTGATAACTTATAACCTGATAGATTTCAGAATCTGACACTGAAATGAAACAATTGGAAAAACATCATTTACTTTACAATTTCTTTGAATTCAACATTAGCAGCTAAAAAACACATTTGCATTTATACGTCAATACTCAGTAATCACAAAAAATAAATCATAGAGATTAGAACAGCTGAATAGTTACAATTGTGGAAGACAGACTGAATCTCTAACCCAACCAAATGATGCATCCTTTAACCAGATATTTTAATGGCACCAAGATGAACTAAAATGCACAACGTTGTTCACTCTCCAATCATCTCTATTTTGATCCGACTACTTCAAAATGACCGCATTATTTGCCGGGTGTTTACACCAACCCAATGAATACATGACGTATGCCTTAACACATACCGCACTTGTCGGGGTACACTGGTATGTTGTTGTACACATATACTCTTATCACTAAACCATAGCTAATTAGTAAACATTTTCACCTTAATTTATGACGTAACCCTGATGAATTAGCATGATTTGGGTAAACACCCTGTGCCGATAAGTTTTTACATTATTTGCCTACATCGCGAATAAAGAGACAACTACAACTGCAACATACCTAGTGTAAACCCCCAAGTGAGGTCTGATGAGGGTGATAGACCCTAGGCTCAAGGAAAAAGAAATAGCGGAAGTAGATATCACTAATAAAGAGAACACAACTAAAACAACTGCAGACAGTAAGTATAGAGAGTAATGCACATAACCTTCTAACTAGTCATACTAATTAGTTATCTCTTCTTGCCAATAATCAATTCTTCTTAAACAACAACATGCCAAAGCAAATCCAATTCAACACTAAAAACTCAACTATAATATCTTACATCTAGCAATGGTAGTTCTGACGAGTGCACGAGCAAGCAGAGCACTTTTCCTCAGCTCATCTCTTCGAAAACTCAAAACTTTTTCAATCTCACTTGGGGATAGAATCTCCATATATTTGTTCATAAGGGATTCACCCTTTACCTCACTGGGTATCACATACCAAAGATGTATCTCCCTAAGCATAATGCATTAAACAAAAGAATTAGTAACATAGAGAGTTAAGGTCAAAAACACACCTGAAATATCATGATTTTTCAAGTTTCATACATTAACTATTAGGTCTCAGTTTCCTAGCTAAACTATCACCAAATATTTATCGAAACACCTAAACTATCTGTTGTTCCCTTTCTTACCTGAAAAACATCACCATCACAGGAAAAAGAAATAACTGATAATTAGGTGTGTTTCGAAAAATATTTGGTGGTGATAGTTTAGGTATAAAACTCAAAAAATCAGTATACTTTAGGCATGTCTTTAACCCTTCATTCAAAAAAAAAAAAAAAAAACTCAAAATCCATTCTTTGCAGAACAATTAAACATTTCTCTTTATATCAATCTTACAGCAGAAAACTTAACATAGAGAAAATTAGAGAATTGAACCTTACTTTGGAGATGGGAGTGAAATAGGACTTAAAGGGGGCAAAGAACTGAGCAATTTCCCATCAATACAACATTGAATCCTCATTCTTGAAAACCCACAAAGCATTTAAATTTTCTGCAAAACAAAAAAAAAGAGTCTTTATGAATAAAAATCTACAGATATACTGATTTAGCAATTTAAAAGAGCTCAAAAATGAAAACCCATATGCATACAAAGTCAAATTAATCAAAAAGTTTCAAGAATTTGAGGGATTTTGGAATCCACCCCTTTCAGTTATAGTGACGAAATAGAAGAAAAACTGGTTTTTCTTCAAGAATGTGAACCGGGTTTTATTTTGGGAATGAATGGTATTGATTGAAAATATTTTTGCTTTTTAAAAAAAACAAAAATTGGAATTAGTATTTTGGTCAGCTTAGGTGCACCTCAACAATACCTACTACGTCCAATACATGTAATAGATAACTTTATTCATCGGGAAGGCTTGAAAATATCACCTAGTATTTGCTTGATTGAGATTCGAACCTAATGATAGGATTAAAAAAAAATAAAAAAAATCAAAGAGTTAATGTAAAAAAACACACTTAAATTATCATTTTTTCACGAGTTTTATGTTTCAACTATCCATTCTCTTTTTCTACCTAAATTATCACTCACTTAGTATTTGAACACACTTAAATTATCATTATTTCGCGAGCTTTATGTTTCAACTATCTATTATTCTCTTTTTTTCTACCTAAATTATCACTCGCTTAGTATTTGAACACACCTCGATGCTGAGTTGATCCTAATATCGACAATAGTTGTGTGTAGGACAACTCAACATCGAGATATGTTTTAATACAAAGAGAGTAATAATTAAGGTATGACACTCGGCACACGCGAGTGAATAGGTGATAGTTTATGTATGGTTTTTTACCATTATTATATTTGCTTGGATATTTTTTAGAAGAAAAAATAATGCTACTTTATCAACAACAAAAAAAAAATCAAGCAACCAAATTTGGATTAATTTTAGGGAAAAAGGATCAAAAATACCCTTAAACTATTACAAATAGAGTAAATATACCCTCCGTTTGAATTTGGGTGCAAAACTACCCCCACCGTTACTCAATAGGCTCAAAAATGCCCTTGGCTAACGGAAAAGTAAAAAAAAGGAATTTAAAAAACTTTTAAAATAAGAAAAGGTTGACTTTTTCTTTTGTTGCCTCCTCTCTCATTCTGCTCGCTGCCCCCAAGTTCCATCCACCAGCCTGTTTTATAAAAAAAAAAAATATTTTTTCTCAAGGCATATTTATCAAGAACTTGCATGATTTTTCCATATACGGGCTAAATTGCTAAATTCAAGTTATGCTATCTCATTGCCAAGTAGAGCAAATATATATCAAGCAAAGGATATGTAGAAATCTTGAGTACTCTTGTTAAAAAGTCTAAATTTATTACTGATTTTCTATCATTAATACTGCACAAAATTGAGTTAAAATTTCAGTGTACGCATATTAAACTGAACAATTCAACATATACACTGGCACTAATTGTTCTAGTAGAAAAATTTTGCTCTTTGTATCATTCCTACATGCTAGTTTTCTCCGTTCAATATCCTATAATATGCAATTAGTTCATGTTTACTTTTAAGTAACTTATATGCATACAAGAGAAATATTAAAAGGTTGCAATTTATCTTGATTGCAATATATGTTGCCACTTGTTGAAGAATAATACTTGAAGTTAGTTTGTTTTGCAATATTAATCAGAAATGACTTCAGTATGATAAAAATATTTTTTAACGATAATAAATATACGTATTAATAAAAAGGTCTTTACCACATTAGTTAATTATTATTGGATCAAATATCGCTATAGGGTTTAGACACATTTACGAAGAGTGTTAATTGTTGTTCAAAATACACACATATATTTATATATATAACTGTAATTAAGTTGTTGTTGTTAATTAATTGTCACTAAAGATATTTTTGATGTGGTGCTTATATACAAATTTGTTTACTTGACATCATAAAATTTCATCATCGAATACAAGCCATGGGTCGTGGGTGAAACTTGAGTGTAGATTAGTCAAAATGCGTTCAGTTTTGAGTGACAAAAGAGGGATTTAAGTTTTTTTTGTTTGGGTTTTGGTTCGATCTGCTTTTAAGAGGTAAGGAAGGAACAAAGAGGAAGAAGAGTGGCAGCGGGAGAAAATTGGAAGGGGCAGGTGAAAAGAAAAAGTTGACTTTTTCTTATTTTAAAAGTTTTTTAAATTCCTTTTTTTTACTTTTCCGTTAGCCAAGGGCATTTTTGAGCCTATTGAGTAACGGTGGGGGTAGTTTTGCACCCAAATTCAAACGGAGGGTATATTTCCTCTATTTGTAATAGTTTGAGGGTATTTTTGATCCTTTTCCCTTAATTTTATATACTATATTATGATTTTAAACTCACTCAATTGAAAAAATCTAATGTGTAATGCAAATTATTTTTATTTTATTTTTCAATTGGTGTTCAATATTCGCTTGAAAGCCATATAGTCCAGGTTTGTACTGAATAACATGATAGCAACTTCATTTCTTTGATTCAAACCCTCAGTTCTTGAATTCAAACCCAAAAGTGACTTCATGAATTGGATTCAAACCCAAAAGTAGCTTCAGTTCGACGCTGATTAAGGATGAAGGAGTGTATGTAGAAAGCACTAGTGGTCATTGTTTATGTCAAAATGAAGAAAATCATATTGAAATTGGAAACCACAACAATATTCATTCTACCAAAAAAAAGAACACATAAATTACATTCATCCTGCTAGTTTCCCCAGCCAAACATGCCTAGAGGGAAAGGTGACAGGATTCCTGTTTGAACTACTAAGAAAGTAACCAATATCCAAAGCACAAACATAACTGGATAATACATTGTCTTTGTTTCAAACATAAATCACAACCATTTAACTTCTTGATGAGGTAGCAACAATGGCTCGTTGAGGCGAGAGACGTGTTCATCGCCATGCTTCCACCCTTTCTGTTGTCGAATTCAACCTATCGATGATTCTGACCCCCTTGCCTTTCTCTAAATTTCCAGCTACATGACCTATTGGCCATTCAATCATTTTCTTTGATCCTTTCAGACTAGAACTACTTGAATGCACGCTTTTAGTCCTTCGTATTTTTGGCTGACTTCTTCCACTTGTTGAATTGATGTTACCAGATCCAAGCTCATCCTTTGTGCTGTCTGGCAGGTTTGAGATTTCACTGAGACAATCAACGAACGCATCTTCCTGAAGAACGTTCTCTATGGTACACGGTAATCCATGGGATTTATTCTCAACTATTATCTCTCTGAGGGTAGAATTAGCAGCGCCACTTGAGGGTCGTCCTTTGGATATAAGGATATCCTCCTCGATCTCGTTAGACTTCTGAATTATTGGCTGTGAAGCACTATGATGTCCATTTTCATCGAATGGTTCCAATTCTGGTGCAGGACCAGCTTCTACAACAGTTTCTTCTCGGTCTTTTAAAGTCCGGAGAATTAGAGTTTTGAGGAAGTTCATAACTTGAACTGCATACATCAAAGCAGTCAACGGATCTGCCATCTGCAGGCAAAGAAATTCACCATTTGTTAATCAAGAAAACACTCGCTGCATTCTAATGATTTTGAACTATTGTATTAGTTTCATTGACACGTTTAGGTTGCTTGCTGTCTATGAAATGGAAATTGCACTCTTAATATAGGAAATATCACAACCACAACGACTTTCCTAACAAGTTGTAACCCCCCAAACGCACACCCGAAACTAAGAAAACGAAAAGAGACGCTATAGGAGCAACAATATGATTCCTTCATGTTTCTTTTAAATTGCATGAAAGTTTTGACTTACCTGTGTCATATTTGGAGCAAACACCATAGCAATATTACGTGCATTCATCTTGTTAAAACTTTCCAGTTGAGCAACATCAGCCATCAAGTTAATAGCCCAATCTAATAGAGCAGCTTCAGTTGGAGGAAGAAGTCTCACGAGCCGCACACACTCTTCTTCCGATTGAGAACGCATAATTTCCTCTGGCGAGAGAGAATCCAAAACTCCCGTCGGTAACTCTCTGAACCAAGCCTATAAAAGTATCATCACTTTACGTCAATTACCACATACAGACGAAATGAAAAATTAAAACCATAAAATGCATAAGGAAAACAAAAATCGATGTCAACAGAACCACCTCCTACCGCTGTCCAAATAGGGAGAGGAGAGAGAACTCTTTGAACTTGATCAGAACACAACAATGTACCTTCTTCATCAATGAAGATGATAAGAAATTTTAATTCAAGTTCAAATGCAATTTAAAGGAAGTATACTTCCTCCAAAATGAGACATTTTGCCTCAAAAGCTGATATGGAAACATATTGATCACTTGCCATCCGGGTAAATAATCTCCTCTCAACAATTACCTAAAAATGTCAAATGAAATCTATGTCGCCCTAACTCTTCAAAAGTGTCGTCAAGTGTGTGTTAGATCCTCCAAAAGTAGTGCATTATCGGAGGATCCGATACTGGACCGGCAGCATTTTTGGAGAGTCTGAGCAACATAGAATGAAACATATTCTGAGAGCAAGGTGCGGAATATCACCTTTATAAGACCTGCTAGGCAATGGACGTCAATGTTATCTGGAATAATTCCCCTATTTAGCTGCTCCCTGACAAATTCTTCTTGGCCATTTTCGGCATTGATCCTGAAGATCCCTTCAGCCTGCAAGTGAATATAACTAATTTTCATCATTGAAAAGTTATACTTACGAAACTTCTAGAGATCACACATATCAGTGATAGATGCCTGTCAAACATTTTATTGATCAACATGAGGGAGATTAAAGAGTTGGTGAATCCACACCTGCAAGCCACCTTGAACGTATAAGCGCCCTTGCATCATCAGAAGGATTGTGGGGACGCTATTTCCTCGAGAGTCAAATGAAAGCTGCATGCAATCTGTCGAAACTCCAAAGACTCTTGTACTGCAAAAAAACAACACCAATATCAATTAGAAGAGCGTGACACTTTTTAACTAGGCAACAATCTGAACAAGTCGTTCTACACCATATAAAAGCTCGTAAAAAGGATAGGATCAAAAGATACTAGAATACAAAAGAAGTTACACAAAAGTAATGTGCCATCACAAAACATGTATGATATATGATATGGCTTTTCAGTACTAGGTCGGTATCAACTTAACCATTATGAAACAGAAGTATTGGAATGAAACAGGCACATCCGAAGTTGAAAGATATAGAGGATTCATATCGCCTTACCCCAATAGTTTGGGACTGTAACATCGTAATTATAGTAACAATTATGAAGCAACAGCTTGTTCGCCGAACAAAGAGAACCAACTTTTTCTTTTCTTTTTTTCAGTTTTCATTTTCTTTTACTATGTTGAAGGATGACATATTCCCACAGTAGTATGAGAAGATGTAGACTCGTGGACACATGAAACTAAAAGGTAAAATTAAAAGGCTTATACTTCATTTTCTTCAAATTTTGATAATCTATCCCGGGATTTCCAAAGCAACTACCATTTCAAAATGTTCAAAGAAATTTCTTAATTACAAGAGTAATTATACTAAGCTTTCACTACGTTTCTCTGCACCCTTTTCTGAACCATTTTCTCACACACATCTATTGCCAACACATAATAAATTTCTACGTTACTGAATAAAAAGTATGGTTTTAAATTCCCCAACCAAATAAAAAAAGTCAATTTTTGGTAAGTGTAGTCATCATGAAGAAAGGAAAATCTGAACTTGAAGCAAAAGAACATGTTACTTTCGATCTAATTAAAGTCTAGTAAGGAAGACAAGGACACACCAATTACTCATCAATTCACAGATATATTAATCAAATATTTATGCATTCCACTGCATAAATTATTAGCTTTCTCCGAATAATTTAAACCACAATTATATGTTCTTCTCCTTATTTCATAAGCATTTGCTGGACAAGGCTGTCAAAAGCCTAAACAACTAACAAGATAACTAAAAGAAGCCAACAGCCCTTTTTCAGCTCACCAGAAAGAGAAAAGAACAAAAAGATAAAACTTGAATAATAATAACAATAATAATGAATTCTGGAATTTCGTAAAATCATATTCTACTACTCCCTCCGACCCAAAATATATAGTTGTTATGTTTTGCTTCTCAAGATTCAAACTACATGAACTATAACCAATATTTTAAGATGTATCTCTTCGCCATATTGATATGAGAAAAGTTGCAACTTATAAGTATAGGTTTCAAATATCAAATTAAACTAATTCAGTGTAGGTCCAAAGATGATCAAACTGACTCTCGAGAAGCGAAACATGACAACTAGCTTGGGACATTAAATGTCATCAGAACACAACAATACTAGAAACGCATACAAGGGAAAAACCAAAAGAATAATAATAGTAATAAAGTAACACCAAGCACATCTCTTAAGTCATGAATGATTTAGAACAAACAACAACAACTACGTCTCAATTCCAATCAAGTTAGAGTCGACTATATGAATCTCTATTTTAGAGCTCATTTCATATCATCATCATACTAAATAAAATAAAAGTGAATGATTTATAGCAAAACCCCACTAATAACAAAAAAAATGAAGAAAAAAGTACTTTAAAAGAATAAAAAAGATCAAACCTGGCACTGGGAGGTCTTCTAGGTACTTCAGGTTCAAACTCAACAGGAAGTCCAAGAAATCCATTAAACCTATCAAAAGTGACATGAGCAACATGTCTGACATTACTAGGCCAACTAATCTCCATTGATGAATTAGCAGAACTAGAACTAAAACCAGAACAAGAAGAAGAAAGCAGCTCTTCAACACCAACACCACTAATAATATCAAAATTGCTCTTACAAGCAACCAAAGATTTCCTAAAACCAGTTAAACAAAGTGTTAACAAAGACAGCTGATCTCCCCCTTCTTCTCTTTCTCTCCTTTTTCTCTCTCTTTTTCTACCAGAAATACTAACTCCTCTTACTTGTACATCAGTATTATTTCCCCCTCTGTATACATCTACAACAGAATACAAATTGGGTCCACTAATTAGACTTTCTTGGTGAGACCCATCATTATCTCTAGCTACTAAACATGGTAGTATACTAATGGAGCTTGAAGATGAAGGTAACTCATGTTGGGGTTGTATAATTTCAGTCATTTTCAACAAACCCACAATAAAAAAGATTGGATTTTTTTTGTGGGTTTTAAATTTTTAATGGTACAACAAATCAAGAAAAGCTCCTATCTTATAATTCAATCATTTTCAAGAAACCCACAAAAAAAATATCCTTTTTTTTATTTAAAGATTGGATTTTTATGTAAAGATTGGATTTTTCTTGGTGGGTTTTAATTGTTGAACAAGAAGCAAGAAAAGTTTGGTGGACACTTTTAAAGAAAATTTGAGTAAACCCCTCTTTATGATAGTTTGGTAGATTAGTAGAAATGGGGTTTGAGTAGAGTTGGATTCAAGCAAAGGTTGGTTTTTGGAAGGTGAGATATTAATATCATCATCACTTTCAATACATTCTCATTTTCTTCTCCCTATTTTATGGAAGCACTTCAATTCTTTATATGAAAAACTCTATAGGGGAGTAGGGAGAATTTAGTAGAGTTTGAGGAGAAAAAGGAGAGAGAAACTATACTATAGAAAGAAGGGGATTAGTTTATAATAGAGCTCTTGTTTTGGAATCAAAAACTTTTAAAAAAAATCTAGTTTGTGTTATAGAGAAGCAAAAGGGGAATAGAAGAAGATTAGCTTAGTTGGATTTGGCTCCTCTACCATGGCACTTTCTAGATGTTTTCCTCTTTATAAAATGTGTTTAGGATATTAAATGATATGTGTGATAATAAATAAGAGTTGCGGTGGAGTAGTAAGTAAATCTATCATTTTAGTCAAGATTTCTGAATGAAGTCACTTTTATTAGAAAGTATTTATTAAAATTCTATAGGATACTAATTAATATGATAGTAAATAAGAGTCACGGTAAAGTAGTAAGTAATTTTTATATTTTCAATCAAAAGTCTTTGAACTCGAATATGATCATGGAGCCACTTTTGTTGGAAGGTGTTTATACTGATTGATATTGATATGTTAATAAATAAGAATTGCGATCAGTGGCGAATTTACAGCCAAAAAATAGGGCATCCGCACCCGTAGTCTCTTCGTAAAATTAGATATTTTATATGTATATTTTTTAAGATTTTGTATAATATTACATTCTTGCACCCGTACTACAAGAAGTCTAAATGGTCCACATGGTTAAATGTTGAGCTTTTCACCTTGAGGATTAAGGATCAATTCTCACTTCAATACATTTTACTTGATGCACTCATGTTCGAAAAATCCTAGATTCGCCTCTGATTGCGATGGAATAGTAAGTAAATTTTTATTTTTAGTCAAAAACCTTAAATACGAGTCTGGTTATGGAGTCATTTTTATTAGGAGATGTTTATAAATTTTGATAGGATACTAATTGATATGATAACAAATAAGAGTCACGATATAGTAGTAAGTAATCCTATATTTTTTATGTCAAAATTTTTGAATCCAAACCTGGTAATAGAGCATTTTTTGTTAGAAGGTGTTTATACTAATTGATATGATCGTAAATAAAAGTTACGATGAAGTCATAAATAGATTTTTTTTAGTTAGAAATCTTAAATTTGAATTTGGTCATGGAGTCACTTTTATTAAAAGACAATCATATTTTTTTTTATATAGAATGCTAATTGATATGACAATATATAAGAGTCGGAATGAAGTAGTAAGTAATCCTATATTTTTAGTCAAAAGTCTTAAATTGAATTTGGTCATGAAACCACTTTTCTTAGAAGGTTTTTATACTAATTGATATGATAATAAATAAGAGTTGGGATCATGAGGTGTTTATAAAAAAAATTAGGATATTAATTGATACGATAATAAATAAGAGTCGCGACAGAATAGTAAATGATTCTTTAATTTCAGTCAAAAATCTCGAATTTAAATGTAATATATGAACCACTTTTGTTAGAAGATATTTATAAATTTCTACAGGATACTAATTGATATAATAATAGATAAAAGTTATTATGAAATAGTAAGTAATTTTTTATTTTTAGTCAGCAATTTCGAATCGAATTTAAATCTAATCATAGTGAGTCTTTTGTCATAAGGTGTTTATAAATTTACATAGGATATAAATCGATCTTATAATAAATAAGAGTCGTATTGAAGTAGTAAATAATCTTTTATTTTAGTAAAAAATATTGCATTCAAATTTGTCATGAAGTCATTTTTGTTAGAAGATGTTTATAAATTTCTATGAGATACTAATTGATATAATAATAACAAAGAGTCTTAAGAAGTAAGCAATTTTTTATTTTTGATCAAAAATTTCAAAGTCAAATTTGGTCGTAGAGTCATTTTTGTTAGAAAATATTTATAAAATTTATATAAGATACTAATTGAAATAATAAATAAGAGTTTCGATGGAATAGTGAGTAATTCTTTATATTTTAGATAAAATCTTAAATTCAAATATGATAATAGAGTCACTTTTGTTATAAAATATTTTACTTCCAATGTAAAAGTATTTGCAAATTCAAATTACATTGAGCATCTAGGAACAATACTAAGACGTTTCGTTTCCATTTTTTTTTTATTAAAAGCATCACGTAGTATAATGATAGTGCTCGATCCGCAGCTGCGGAGTCCGCCTTCCCTAGTTCCCTTAAAAAACAACATCCATATTAGTATTAAATATTTGGTGGAAAATAACTTTAAAATATAATATATATATATATATATATATATATATATATATATATATATATATATTTATTTTTTATTTTATTTTTTTCATTTTCTAATACTCCCTCTTTCCAATTATTGTAACGGAAATGGAGTGTGTGAATTAAAATATTTAATTGATTGTGAACTTAAGTATAGTTCTAAATATTTTAACACGGAATAAAAAAATGAAAATTATATGAAAGTTACTCTTCAATCCGTTCCAAAATACTTGGTACTCTTAACTTCTTGGCATTTAACTACATGAACTTTAATCATCAATTTCTGATATATATTTCACTATATTAATAAGAAAAAAATAAATTATTATTTTTATAATTTTAAATATCTAAATATTAATTTTTAAATATAAATAAAATATAATTCATTTTAGTTTTAAAAATTAGACAAATTGATTTTTTAGAAGCAAAACGTAACAAATCATATTATCAGTTTTAGCTTTGAAAATTAATCAAAATTGACCTTCTAAAAGCAAAACGTAACAAATCATATTATTAATATAATTCATTTTAGTTTTGAAAATTAGTCAAAATTGACTCTCTAGAAGCAAAACGTAACAAATCATACCACCAATATAATTCATTTTAGCTTTAAAGACTAGACAAATTGATTTGCTTCTAGTCAAATTATTATTAATATATTTCTTTTTTACTTTGAAAATTAGTCAAAATTGACTCTCTAAAAGCAAAACGTAACAAATCATATTACCAATATAATTTATCTTAATTGTAAAAATTAATCAAATTAACTATCTAGAAGCAAAACGTAACAAATTGCAATACCAAAATAAGTTATTTTAACTTCAAAACTTAGTCAAATCAACTCACTAAAACCAAAACTTGACTAATCACATGACTTGCATTGTTTAATTAAAGGGACTCCGAGTATAATGATGAAGAATTTATATTCCTAATCCAATAATTATATGACCTAATCATGTATAGATCTTATCTACTCTTTAACACATAATTTATTTCTTTTGCAGGTCATATTAATATCTTTAGTTGAATTATTAATCGTTTGTTTATTATTTTGGTATAAACGAAACCTTTATTTTAATGTGCTAATGACAACTTGTATTGTGTAGGAAGGTACCTGGCTCTGTTAAAGTAGTTGGAGATCCAAGGAAGAATAATATTTTAAGGTCCTAACACATGAGCCTGGTCCAAATGGCGGAATCAAATTTTCACTTACAAAATTTAAAATTTATAGAAAAAAATTAAGAAAAATTAATATATATATATATATTAATGAAACTCTCACTTATTCATACTTATATATATATATCCTCTCTTCTTCTTTTTTATTATTATTCGACGTTTAATTTAGATTCTGATTGATTTGAATTCGTGTTGAGATTTTTTATTTGAAGAAAACAATTTTATTAAAGATGATTCAATTTTTAAAATTTAAAGACAAGACATATGATTAAGAATAAAAGAATATTTATCACTCCGATAATCATACTTATCCATTTGAACACTAAGAAAAACAATCAAAGTGTGACACATACCAACTATGGTGCAAAATTCCCTTTCACTTGGGGTGGTTAAGATGTGACCTTTTATTTTAGGAATTTTAAATTGGAGAATGATTTAGCTTATTACCAAAAAAGACTTGTAACTTTCAATTGTGTCATCAAGAAAATGTGTCAAATTCAAGAATATGACAATTGATCATAATAAAGTCATATTGTATTTTTCTCTTTCGTTTGAAAAGAATAGAGTACAACTTCACTAGTTCAACTATTTAATATTCGAAAATCACTAGTTCGATTAATTAAAAAATTCAAAATCACTAGTTGACTTCGAGACCTCTAATTAAGGGTGAAGGAAAAATTTATTATTTTTACATGCTCATCGTCTTATCTTGGATTTTTTTTAGAAAATAATATAAGTGATATTGTGTACTCAAAACTTATTGGTCTGATTAATTTAAATTTGAGATGGTTCATTTTAAAAGCAATCAAAATAATTATTACATATATTACAATGAAATGATAAGAATTTTTATTTTATTTTTAAATTAAATATTTTGGATTTGTATTTGAAAACGTAATCACTTCCGATAGAATGTACTTTAAAACCCTTCAAACTTTATGGAAATTATTTTATACGAATTTAAATTAATTGTTCCACAAAACAAATAACAAGCACTATGTTGGAAACCAAAAAGAGAAACATATAATTAGTTCATAAAATTGCAATCAAGATTAAAAAAAAAAAAAAAAAAATATCAAACTTAGATATTAGTAGTAGGGTATCCCATGATAAAGCACAAGAAATTTATTTCAAAGGTATTTAAAACTATACCCTTAATATTGAAGAAGTGCTTGTTCTTTTTAATAGTGTTCAAATCTTTTAAAAAAAAGAGTATGTAATAAATATGGATAGCTTAGTAAACTATACTTATCTTGAATTT